CCACAAGACCGGTATGCTGCCAGTATCGTGGTCATCCTCAAGGAGACCACTGCATCTCCAAATCAGGTTTTGCTTTGGTACTAGAGCTATCTGAGGGTGCCGGGGGTGCAAGGAGCATCTCTGCTTGCGCGGGTAGTGATCACTCAGAAGAATGTGGACTTGGCTGCCCCAGTCAGTCCAGCTTAGTTGTCAAATACCTGGTCGAGCGGATTGCTAGGTAGCTGAGGTCATGAATAGACCCTGGGGGATTCATCTCTAGTTGGTCGTCAGCCGCAGCCTGATCAGCCCCGGGCAGTTCAGCAAGGCCGGCCAGTATATGCGGGCGGAGCGGTTGACATGGGCATGATGCATTTGGCAAGCTCAACAAGGTGTATGATGTGCCAAAGGTGTTGCGTAGAGGCAGAACCGAAACACGATTGGTGGGCCGATCATACTCGGGGGGCGATGAAGGAGGCAAGGGTGGATTTGCGCGGTTTCGACATAAAGACGTGTTCGATACACTCAGGATACTGGCAGGCATGGACGTAGGTTGAAATCGACACGGCTGTCAAGCTCGCGTACACATGTGCTCGCGTCGTGGTGAAGAGCCTCTGAAGTGACATGCCTAGTTCCCCACAGTTCAGTGCTGCGAGCACAAAAACTCATTTGCACAAGTCTTAGGCGCAGAATTTCTGACGGGCGGACTCACGATTCTTGGGTGTAGAGAATATGGTCAGATTCTCGGATGCGGAGTATCTTGAAACTTGTATGATATGGTCAGACAAAAACCAACGCTCAACGATCAGATTCTCGAATGACCGAAATCGCGCCCGCGTGATGTTCAATATCTCCCAGATACTGTCACCACAGTCTCATCCGTGCAGCTGTGTAAGATAGCTTCAAAATCCATCAGAAATGGCAATTTCAGGACCATCAAAAGTTTTCCTTGCCCGGACCTTTCCTCATTGCAAACATGAGGCGGAAATGATTTCTACATATGTTCTTTCAGATGTCCTGAATAGCGCCACAAAGTCTCCTGAAACATGAACTCTTTGCTGTACTGAAATGTAGCCATATTGAGTCATTTCAGGTTCATTTCAGGCTACACAAAATTTATCATTTTCGAAAATGAAACAGTTTTGATGGCTTGACCAGGACATTTCAGGTGATCTGAAACCAGCTCATGCCCGTAGTGCAATGGACACGAAGTCGCGGATGCGCGAGGAAAAAAGAAATAGCGCATCCAGGATTATAAAACGCCGCAGGACCGGTCCGCTTTTCTTATCCTCTCCTCTCCTTCCTGCTCTTCAAAACCTCCGTCATGTCCTCCGTCGTAGAGACGCGAACGGCATCGCTATCGCGAGGCCCGGATCCGAAGCTCAAGCACTCTGTTAAGGAAGAGGCACCTGCAGACAACAACATTCCCGATAACTATGTCTCCTGGACTCTCAAGAACCAGGAGCCTCTGCCTCCGGTCACCCTTGAAAACCTCTTCGAGAACATACAGTGGCTGAACCTCGCCGTCCTTACTATCATTCCCTCTGTCGCCATCTATGGCCTCTTCACAGTCAAGATGCAGTGGCAGACATTCGTCTGGAGTGTCATCTACTACTTCATAACGGGTATCGGTATGTTGCCCTCACATATTCAACTCGTCTTCTCGTGCCAAACTGCCGCCTAGGTATCACTGCCGGCTACCACCGTCTATGGGCACACCGGTCATACAATGCCTCAAAGCCTCTCAAGTACTTCCTCGCGGCCGCGGGTACCGGCGCTATCCAAGGCTCAGTCAAGTGGTGGTGTCGTGGCCACCGCGCCCACCACCGCTATACTGACACCGAACTCGACCCGTACAACGCACACAAGGGCTTCTGGTACTCCCACGTCGGCTGGATAATCATCAAGCCCCGATACAAGCCTGGTGTGGCCGATGTCAGCGACCTGAGCAAGGACTCTGTGATCCAGTGGCAGCAACGGTGGTATATGTGGCTCATCCTTGGGTTTGGCTTGGTCTTGCCCACTGTTGTCACCGGGATTGGGTGGGGTGACTGGAGGGGTGGGTTCTTCTTCGCGGGTGCGGCCCGTCTGTGTTTTGTCCACCACGTGCGTGACTCCGCTCCTATTCGCGCATGTATGCATATATAAACCTCCGCATAGTCTACTTTTTGCGTCAACTCGCTCGCACACTGGTTCGGCGAGACACCTTTCGATGACAATCATACGCCGCGCGACCACTTCATCACCGCACTCGTCAGCGTCGGTGAAGGCTACCACAACTTCCACCACCAGTTCCCGATGGACTACCGGAACGCGATCAGGTGGTACCAGTACGACCCGACGAAATGGTTCATCTGGGTGTGCGCGCAGCTGGGCCTGGCGAGCCACCTGAAGGTGTTCCCGGAGAATGAAGTCAAGAAGGGCCAGCTGACGATGGAGCTGAAGCGGCTGCGGGCGACGCAGGATGGCCTTACGTGGGCGCGCGACATCCAGGAGCTCCCAGTGATCAGCTGGGAGAGCTGTACGTTCAACTTTGTGTTTTGCACTACCCAGCAACGTCTACTGACGCGCGTCCAGTCCAGGAACAGGCCGTTAAACGTGCACTCGTCGTCATCGCCGGCTTCATCCACGACGTCGCTGACTTTGTGGACGAGCACCCCGGCGGGCGACACCTGCTGGTGAAGTACATCGGCAAGGATGCGACGGCGGCGTTCTTCGGCGGCGTATACGGCCACTCGAACGCGGCGCACAATGTGAGTGCAGCTTTTATCAGTTCCCAGCGTGATTTTGTTGACGTCGAAGTTATAGTTGCTGTCAATGAAGCGCGTCGGGATCTTGCACGGCGGCATCCAGCACGGCCTACAGGACAAGACGGTCCCGCCTGCGCAGCGGCTTCGGGTTGCGCGGTACAACGAGCTTGGCGGGTTGCCGAACTGTTCGTCTAGCGCGGTGTCGGACAACGAGGGCATGATCGGCTGAGCGGCGTCTTGTCATACTCTTGTGGTTTGTTTTGTCCGATGAGGCCTTTTGCATATGGGCTGTATTCTGTAGAATATTTTGTTGTCATTCTTTGTTATGGTGACTTTGTATGAAAGACATCCGAATAGCAAACTTCTTTCCTGTCTGAATATAAGCGGCGTCACTGGGATTTCGGCTTTTCGTTGTATTTTTGCGCTGTCACTGTACGCGGCGGGCAGAAGAGCCACCTAAGAGCCACCTTCCCTGTCTATTCTTCGGCAGGGAAGACTCCCGGCCGTACTGGCCGAGCAATAGTCCGTAGTTGCAATGCCTGGCCACAAATTAAGGCTGGGCTCTCTGTGTGGTATCCTCAATACATAGTGTATATGTCTCAGGCCTCAGGCCTCCGCGTTGCGTGTTATGTACGATCTATGCTCGCGCTGCATGCTAGCGTCACGTCATGCTCACCATGTATTTCCGACAATGAGTCTACGCTGTTATAGTGCATCAAGCCAGGCAGGTATCGCTACACCAATGCTGTGCTATCGCATTCGCAACACATCCTGGATATTGTACAGAAGTAAGGAAGCACCCCAAAATCGTGCTAAGACTGTGTCATTAGATGGAAACCAAATCTCCCTAATACCCCCATCTCCTCCCCGGGTCGCTCCATCAAACTTTGCGAGAAATGCTCCAGTCTTCGTATCGTACAGCTCCACATCCCTACTGCCCCAGGCACCAAAAGCGACATAGTCTCCATCTGGGGAGTAGGCCGCGCAAAATGCTGGCTCTGTGAGCTTGAAGACACGACGTAGCTGGCCCGTGCGTTAATCGTAAGTGACGGCTGTCGTATCCGCGTCACAGCCCGCCACCACCTCGGCCCCGTCTGGGGAGAATGCCACGGGACGTGAGAGCTTCTTCGGGTGGTCAATCGTGAGCAGCTCTTCGCCAGTCGCCGTGCTCCAAATCTTCACTGGTCCCGGGATGTTCAACGCCGAGCCGGTGACAATGCAGTCGCCTTGATGAGACATCGACGACTGGAGCCATTTCTCGACATCATGCTGTAAAGTAGCAGTACGTGCATAGGTGTGAATGTCATAGAGGATGCAAAATGCGCCCAGGTCGACACAGAGACATGAGCTGTGCGGGGAGAAGGCGAGCATGTATAGTTTTCCATCAACGCTGAAGGAATGCAGACACGCTCCACTCGAGGCATCCCAAACCTTCATGGATCCGTTGGTGGCAGAACCAGTGGCAATGAGCGCGTTTTGAGGAGCATATGCAATGCTACCCACTGGCTCGCCGTGCACCAGATGTAGAAGTACGTGGCCGCATCGAGTATCCCACACAATTACGGTCCCGTCATCAGAACCTGAGACAAGGGTGTAGTCGATGAGGGAGAAGCAGAGAGCGGAAACGCTTTCTGTGTGGCCTTGGCGGTGTAGACGTTGAACCAGGAGACCGTTGGATAGACGTCATACGAGGACGTCGACACTGTTGAACGATGCCGCCAGAAACTTGCCGTCCGCCGACAGAGCGAGGGAGTGACAGCGGTGAGATGGATTTCGTGAATCGGTAAAGGCTAGCCGCTGCAAGTTGAGAGGCCGAGTCTCCGCATTTGAGGGGCCGATGAAGACGCGCCCATCCTTCAAGCACTGGCAACCGACCCCGTCTATGGAGGCATCCGGCCACTCCGCCGAATCGGACGCGGTGATGACCCGACGAGTAAATCCGAGTGCTTGCTCGTGAGAGATAACATCTTCCATAGATAGTGATCCGACTGTGCGGAGAGTCGTGCCAGTCAGAGACCATTACTACTAGCAGATGAGAGGCTCACCCGTGCCGATGACCTGGACCGGAGGCTGCGTATGACGAAGATAGCTTGCAAAATCTACCACCGACTTCCCGCCCTGACCGAGAATAAGCTTTGTTTTCCCGTGCCAGATTTGTGTCATGACACGTACGACAATACTCCACACATCGTCATCACTCGCTATAGCGGTCTCGACGTCGGTCGTCTGTTGCAATACACCTCTTGCTTAGCATCGCAGCACGATGGGTTGAGCTACGGAGCGGACATACCTCGAGTATATAGTCAAGAAGGACATCTAATGGATCAGGGACTTCGCCCTGATGCTTCATCAGTCAGCGAGCCTCGCGATTTATGGCGACGGAAGGCGTACCTCACTCTCAAATTCTACAATGCTCGTCTCATCGACATCTCCCACTTCCTGCGCCACGATCCCTTCCGCCGCGGCGCCACTCCTTGCATCTCCTGCATCCAGAAGCCGGTGGTAGCCCGCGCCAGCGACAATTTCTTTCAGCTCTCCAAACCGCCTTTCCATCTTGTAGCGTCTGACAAAGACGGACTGGTTCTCTTCGGCTCTGGAACAGTGAGACCGGGCGCATTCGCAACGGGATTGGACGCGTTCGCAGGAGGGTCGGATGATTGTACAGCAAATTCGGAGGCTTTCGCAGAGTAGTCCTCACCCTGCCTTCGCATCGTCGGACCAGTCATGGAAGTCGTATTCAGTGCGCTCAAATTCGCCCCTGCAATGCTACCAGCCTGGGCTCCGACCGACGTCCTGGAACTCGTGCTCGTGTTGCTGAAGGCAACCGCCGTCCAACCGGCTTCGGTCTTAAACCGGCCGCAGATCATGACAATGTTCCTTTACTTGACATCTTGGTGGAGTTTGCCCCTGGCATAGTTGTACCATTCGCCATGGTGTCGGACGATGTACTCCTTCAGCGACAAGTTCTCGAATATCGCTTCAGCATACGCCTCGCTCTTCAGCTCAAGGACCGCGGCGCCTTCGGCTGTCTTGCACGCGTACTCCGCGCTCAGTGTCGCAGATACATTGGCACCAGGCGCTCTACAGACCGTCAATAGGATAGATTCATCAAGCGAGCAGGTGCGCTTGCATGTCTACTGAGGCATCTCCCTGCTTGATCTCAACTCCATGACTGCGATAGTGGGCAGGGACGCCCAGGATCGAGCTTGAGCACGCCTGGATCGGTGATCTCGAACGGCGGGTCCCAGAACGTGACCTTCTTGTCAGGTGCAGAGGTGTCCAAATTGAAGAGTCTGGCGAATGCCCCTCTGTGCACGAAGCCGACGTCTCCGATTTGCAGCTCGCCTGACGCGTGGGGTTCAGGATACCAGAGGGCGTGACCCTGGTAGAGCGTTGCCAGACAAGACGAATAAATTTCATCGGGAACCGACGTAGGCCGACGGAGGAAGAACATGGAGGACGAGTTGGAGTATGTGATGCAGATTAGCAGAATAGCTATGGCGGTAGTATGGCGGACGCATGTTATGGGATGGATGACCAGCCAATTTCGAAATTCGGATGCCGACCCTTGAAGCAAGTTAAAGCTTGAGCGCTTGAGCGCCGAGCTTGAGCAGCTCATTATCCACGCCAGACTTTGGGCATGTAAGTCTCGCCGTATCAGTCAGGCGGGTTATTGCATGTACTTTTCAAATTCTGTCGTAATGTTTGATTTTCCATCCTATGTCAGGGCTTCCTTGCGCGCTCGGTTCCACGACCTGTGTTTCCGAAGCTGTCTACAGTATTATCAACGACTGTGAGCAGAGCATTTCAGCCTGCTCAATAATAATAACACTCGCAGTGTCACAAACTGTCACTCAGACTACTACTCCCAGGCCCGCCAATGACACGCTCACATGTACCCTCGGCGAGGATAACATCTCCGAGCCTCCAGCATCTCCTCAAGCGCACCACCAGGCATCTCGACCGTGCCCTCGCAGCCCTCGACGTGCGCCTGCGCGCCAAATCCTCCGCACGTGAGCGTCGGTGAACGGCTGCGCTTCTTGTCATGGCACCGGCGTAAACACCGTGGGCTTTAGATCTGACCGCAAATTGGACGCCTCTCGCACGACGTCCGCGGCGTAGCCGTCGCTGACCAATGTACGGCATGAACGACGTGGGCCAGGCTCAGATCGGCGCTTTTGTCAACGATGATAGCTTCAAGCCTTCAACGTACTTCCACCTGCCTGTCGGCCGGCAGTTCCTCATCAACGACGTCCTCGGTGAGCCTTGGCTGTAAGTCCCGTTGAGTATTCCGTCCGCGTCCTTGGTACCTATGCTCTCTCTATTTATGAAAATAGCTATGGCTGCTTTCTGTCAAGTGCTAAAACACACGTGTAAGCAAGGTTTGACCGAGCTGTAGTGGGAACTTCCCACGAGACGGACGATCGATCTTTGCACTGTGCTTGCTCTTCACTCTGCCTTAGACCAAGCTACGGTCCCGTAAAGCTCTTGAACGACATATCCGTACACTATCCTGCTTCGAGACATACATTCGACATCGAGACAGCGGCCAGCTGCGCGCACATCCATTCAGCAGCTCGGGAGCATCGCATTCCTTGGAGCAAGCTACTCCTCTGACACGATAACATCGTGAGTTGCAGCATTCACGTCGCGCCCAGCCATACTTATGAGAATATGTAGGTTTTGGAGTAAGACACTGGTGTATGAGTAAATATGTCGTCGATACAGCCCGGCGACTCGCAGTCTGAGCTCAGTGACCGGCGGCTGAGCAAATTGCCACCCACGACATTAAACGACCCGCAGCCAGCGAAATTTGGGGACTCGCAGCCCAGCGATCCGCAATCCGGCGACCTGCTGCCAGCAAGATCTAGCAGCCCACAGCTCAACGACTCGCGGTCCAGTAACCGACAGCCCTGCGGCTCACAGCCTAGCAACCCGCAGTCTGGCGACTCGCAGCCAGCGAGGTCCAGCGACCGTGACCCGCAGCCGGTGAAATCCAGCGACACACGGCCGGTGAGATCCCGCATTGGACATTCATCCTACATAGACTCACAACAATTACGTTAGGCTCTCCCAGGCGTGGAGCATCAGGGAGTAGTATGCCGCGGTTGCGGAAAATCGATCTTCGGTGTACGTCACAAGTGTGTGGAATGCATCGACTTCGACCTCTGCCAAGACTGCATATCCGTCGTGTCACTTCGTTTTCAACATGAATATACCCATACATTCCTTCTAATCGAGTACCCCTGGGACCACCGCGCATTTCGTGATGCATCGGTAGTATCATACAACATTCATTTCGTCAGATGCGATGGCTGCAGCGCAGGGCCAGTCGTCGGCGTACGCTACAAGTGCCTCTCATGCGACAACTTTAATTTCTGCTCTCCATGCTTCAATACAATCGAGAAGCGTTCCCCTCATCATGTCTCCCACGATTTCTTCCCTATTAGAAGTCCAGGAGAAGAAGCGAAATTCCTTGCCGCACGAGACAGTACTCACACCCCTCCGACTTCTCCTGAAGATGAGACTGTTCCCCTTCCCCAAAGAGATGTGACGAGACGCGCCTCCTACGATGCAATCAGTCAACGTTCTAGCGGAAAATGCAGCGAGTGCAATAGACACCCGATCGAACACTGCTGCGTCGACTGCGATGACTATGGAATTTGTACGGCTTGCGTGAGCGATCCGCAAGTCCGCATGTCCCACAATCCTCTACATAGCTTCAACCCACTGGAGTCGCCTACGGCACGGCTCGAATCCGGGCCAGATTCCTCCTCGGAGCGTGACACCGCCGAGGGCCAGATCAAGTGCAGCGGATGTCGATGTCGCACCTTTCGTATCCGGCACCAGTGCCTGGAGTGTCCTGACTTTTCCCTCTGTCACCTCTGCATCTCGTCTTTGAGACGGCGCTCGGAGCACGGCATCAGGCATCGCTTTTTCCCTGTCGAGTACCCATGGGATATCGGCGCTTTCGAGGCTGTCTGTGCATTACCGAATGCGCCGCGCTGTCGAAATTGCGGTGTCAAGGCATCGTTGGCCCAACACAAGTGCCTCTCATGTTCGGACTTTGCTTTCTGCTCGTGGTGCATATCAGACCCAGATGTGCGTCTTAAGCACGACGTTGGCCACCCCTTTTTCCCGTACACATCACGCTCCAGGGCTGGAATCGCCAAGTACGAGGCTAGACGTCGGCAGTTCGCCGCATACAAGGATTCTGATGTGGTGCCAGACTCTGATTTGAAAGGTGACAGCCCTCCCAATGGCGTAAGTTTCTCCATCTCGGTTCAGGATATTGATGCTCATGTAGTGATTGATTTCAGCAGAGTATCTCTGGAGATGAAGTTGTGCAGGTGTGGCTCATAACTATTAATTATGTTTCCATGCTCATACGAAGGCCCAATCCTCAATCAGACCGCCACGGAACATAAATCGCTGAGGCAGTCGAGGGTCTTCTTTGAGCTGTCAGGGACATCTGTCTGTCTCTCATGCGACTACATCCCGTGGACACGCAGCACCGCGCTAGTGACAGTCTCTGAATTCATAGATCAGCGGGTCAGCGAGCAGGACAGCGCGCAGGACAGAAGGACCATTATCTGGGGCTCGATGCAGATGGCCGCCTCTGGCATCGTGTCTATCCGCCACCTCTTCCGGTCAGAGTGTTCGGGCATAGGCGAGATCTATACTCTCACTCCTTCCACTCCCTCCACTCTCTCCACCGTTCCTCTCCAGCAGATGCATGTTGGCCAAGGTGCAATACCCAATGCTCTCGCAGACATCCCTTGTGACCGCTTACCAATCGGCGATCTGCTCGCCAAACTCAACAAAGTCCTCGGTACGTCGTATACGCTCAAAGCCCCCGGCGTTCGTGACTGCTTGGAGTATGAGCTCAGCACTTTGCATGACTTTGGGGAGGTGTACGGCACGCTACGCTCGGAGTGGTCATACTGGCGGTCGTCTGAAGATTCTGCCGCAGCACTCGCCAGGATGAAGGATCGTCGTGATAAGGTCAAGGAAAGGCGGGACGGTACCATTCGTGGCCACACCATCCAAGATTCCGGAATCCCTCCTCGACGCGTGTGGGACCTGTATAGCAACCGAGTCCTCCCATTCCATGTCATGCCTCGGGCAGATCGCGAGGACGACGGTTGGTTGCCCAGTAACCTGTGGACGGTGTCACACAGCTGGGTCCACGAACAAGAGCGCGAGCCCGTCATGACTGCGATCAACGGATACCAATGGCCTGTCTCGCTTCCGCGTGGTACCTCCCTCGACCACGTCCGCATCGAGCTGCTCAACATGGGCGCCATGTACGTCTGGCTCGACGTCTCCTGTTTATGGCAGGGGGGCGTCAAGGACGACGACAAAACTCGGCTCGAGGAATGGAAGCTGGACGTGCCCACCATCGGTCACATCTACCGAGCCAAGCCACGTGAGAGACCGTGCATCACGTATTTCAACGGCTTGGGCTTGCCGTTCGATCCGTCGCCAGCAGTTGTCGAGTCGGATCGGCACTGGTTCAGTCGCGTGTGGACCGTGCAGGAGACCCGGTGGGGCTGGTTGCCCGGTGGGCTCACTGCGACGCCTCACGCCGATGGCCCGAAGTTCTTTTCTCGGCTGCAGGACGTCTTGCAAAGTCTGACGGGTTTCCATGCCATTGAAGCCATCAGGAATCGCCACTGCACCACCGACGTCGACAGGATCGCTGGTCTCGCTTATTTCCTGGGGTGCCCGACGCTGCCGCTCTATGATCGATCGGCTTCCTTGGAGTCCGCATGGGCGTTGCTCATCAAGCACATGGATACATCGCAGCGGACATCCCTTTTCGTGCGATACGAGTCTGACGTGCCGTTCGGACTGTTTATCTCATGGGCAGGGTTTCTCAGATTGACGTCCCGACTGGCGGCGGATTTCCGTTGGGGGCAGCTGGAGCTGAAGCTGAAGGATCCTCTAGACGTTTACACCAACGAGCCAGGACAGTATCACCATGTTCCATCTGCCACCGAGCCGTGCTACATCATATCCCCACCCGACGACACGCACCAAGGCAGCGGACCGCAAGTACTTCAACTCCGCTTCTACGGCCGCACTGATCCTATCACTGCGCAAGTCTCCACTACCAGAAGACACGGATGTCTTGTCTCAAGTGTCCCGTATCGCCTACTCCGTGTCGAGCTCTGGGGCACAATCTGGGTTGCAGTTGAGGTGGTCGGAGAGCGGGAGTTGCGGGGCAAGAAGGCTCTTGAGGTGATCAAGTGGGGTGTGATTAAAATGGGCTCGGGCCAGGGCAGGAAATTGCGGAAGCTAGGACTAGTGAGTAAGGATACAGGGGTGGTGTATTTGTCGAGTGAAGAGGCCCTGGCCAGGAGCAAGCACGTCGATAGGTACATGGAGGCATTCAACAGGACGAAGGAGAACCGGAGGGCGGAGATCGGGTCGTAGTGTATCTAGTTACGCACAACAACTTGAAGTGAGTACAGCGTAAGCTTCGAGTTCATGGATTATAGGCAAAATCTATCGTAGTAGCCGCAGTATGCAAGCTGTACGAGAGCATCTGGCGCTTCCTCTTACCTGCCTCTGACTCACCTGCTGATGTCTAAATTACCGCATTCGCCAATAAGCCGGCATTGCGTGATTGTTTGCAAAGAAGGTGGCGTACAGCCCATTGACGACAGTTTCAACCTGCGCACCTTGTTGAATTCGCGAAAAACCATAGCAGGCTACTGACCAGCACACTCTCCGCGCGGTCTCTGGATCAGCCCGTCGAGTAGTAGGTGTGGGCATTTGCGGAGGAGGTGTAGGCGAGATGACAGAGTAGTCGTAACATATCACATTGAGCAACGCACGGTCAGGTACATGTAGGGAAAAGATCAATCCAGTAACTATAAGCTAACACCTATCGTATCCGCAATATTACCTAAAGAGTGGCCGAATCCCGCCACTCTTGTCTGTCATCCAGCTCGCCTGCCAACACTTCGATGACAGCACGCATGCCATCACAAACCTACTCGACCCTGCATCCATGTCATCTGCGCGCGAGTGACAGACGCGTCGAGTTGGCACACCACGATAGCCTTCGACGTGTGCACCTCCCCGAGCATACTCGTGATGCTGGCCATGCGGCGCTTCTCCCGAAGGCCTGCGAGCTCGAACGAACGTGATCGGACCTTCGTGTGGTCGCCCGGGGCGTGTCTCGTCTTGAGGACAATGCGGAGGTGGATACAGGCCGGTAAGTTGGAATGCAGGTCGAACCAGGGCGTGTAATTTTCATCTGCAATGACGAGGCTCCCAGCTCGCACACTCTGCGGCACCGGCCCAGCGCGGACAGTGGTATCGTGAAGCCGGGATATCGCTCCGCGCCCCGGGGGAGCATGACAGGATAGACGCTAGCAGCGAGCGCATGTGGCTGAAAAACGCGGCGCGCGCCCGTACGCACGTCGGTGCGGGAGTATCGAAGGGATATGGATGTGGAAGGTGAGCCTGCACCGAGTGACTCGGTGAGCGTCCACCACAATCAAGTCGCGAGTTTCGGGGCGCACCAATGACAACCTTCCCGACACCCTCACCACACTACCCAGACACGAGATATGTACTTCGTTTGTGCCGTTCTCCAGAGGTAGATGACGAGGAATACGGGCTAAACTGTGGCGTGCAGTGGCTCTTCCGAGTAAGAGCTCACTTCTTAAACTGTCCACATTTCGCGCATCGGGCGTTCAACGGGCTTCTGAAGCGCGTCGCCCTCGGGTGCAGGCAGGATGCTCACTTCGACGAGCCAGGCCATGCGCTTGCATACCAGCGCGTCGTGCGGTACGTCCGCTCCATGCGCGGCGCCAGGGAATCGTGCATATTTGTGTCGCTGGGCTCGGACGCCTTGATGCTCGTCGGCAGGTCACCGAACACAAAGTGCAGCAGGGGAAACTTGGAGAGTGCGGTGTCCTGCACCTCCACGGCGTGTCGCTTGAGTTGGCGGCGGACTCGCAGTGCTCCATGCCATATGTGTAGGATGGGAGGGTGGAGAGGAAGTCGCTGAGGGTGGGTAGGCAGGCAGGCCGCCACGCCGAGATGGTCACGTCAAGGTGGTCGCGCGGAGGTGGAGCGCTGCGGGAGCGGCCGAGCAGGCGGCATGGGGGACGAGAGCGCTGTCGACGGTATCGTGGGTGTCTGAAGCTCGGCCCATTTCGATGCAGCCCTTGACCATGTGCCAGAGGACGTGGTCGGTGCTTGCCACTAATAAGCGGGTTAATACTCTGCTACAGTATCAATAACAAAACCTTACTCACTAGCAGGTTCTGTGGAGTCACCAACGACGCAACTAGGAAGGATGATAATGACCACTGAGGCCCCTCTTCCCGTGTCGAAGAGCAGACTCTCCGATATCAGCTTGCTCCAGCCATAGCCTGTCGATCACGCCCTCTCTCCCAGAGATGCCCCTCTGCATGCTCGACCCGCCGCCTGGCAGAGATCTAGAGGCTGGGGCCAGAACGGTGGTTGTAGCCGAGGAGCAAGGAGGCTCACCACGATGTCATCCTTGCTACGGAAGCGTAGCAGGATATCACAGCTGGAAGGCGTGTGATTGATTCACGAGACCGCGTATACGGAGGCCAATGAGGCAGCTGGGGCTCTCGATGTAGGTCGCAGGGAGCTTGTCGCATGAGGGCGATCTTCGGCCGGCCGCAAACTTAAGTGCTTACCAGGCCGATTTGATACTGGTGGGCAATGGGCAATAGCAGCAACTAGGAAGAATGCGCTGTGCCAGTCCACAGTTAGGCTCGACGAGAAGAGTCCCACGGTTAGAGTATGACTACGCACCTCGACTTCCCTGCTCGTCTGTGCATACCGTCCATTCTCAGGTCCGTGCAGCTGTAGTTGCTGAAATTCATGTCTCGTTCGGATAGACAATTGAAAGACGGGAAGAATAAATAACGGGGGACCACACTGAATTGAAGAGTCTGGCGAATGCCCCTCTGTGCATAAAGCCGACGTCTCCAATTTGCAGCTCGCCTGACGCGTGGGGTTCAGGATACCAAAGGGCGTGACCCTGTTAGAGCGTTGAAAGACACAGATGGAGGCAGAGTAGGCTGTATCCGGATCCCCGCCCTCAGGTATGCTAGGTATCGGAACTATAAACGACGCCGTGACGGTCGTGAACGTGCCCTATGCGGAAGCCAAGCCTGTCAGCGCACGCAACACACAGAGACATAAGAGGAGACTCACCGGAGCCTCACTGAGGATGGCGCCAGCCCAGTTGTCCGAGGTTGACTGGCTGAAAACGTCGGTCACATTGGGGGGCGACGTTTGCATGTCGCGAATAGGGGCACGACGGGCGATGCGGGCCTCGCGACGTTCCTGAGAAGTCGGCAGCGAGACAGCGATTGTGGCAGCGAGAGCCCAGACAAGGGAGAGGATCAAGTACATGGCGGTGTGAGCGATATAGAGTAGAAACAGCTGTGAAGCTGTCGAGCCAAGAAAGGCGAGGAGTCTGCGGTTTGGCTGTGCCCGTCGGGCAAGCTTATATACATCGGAGGCCCGTCCAGCAAGTACCTGTGCGCCATGATGATCCTGGAGTGCATCACCACGCTTTAGGAGGCGGGCCGTTTCACATCACCGTTGCGGCCGTTATGATCCAAAATGTCGCAAATCAGATCTTCAGACGTTGAAGGACAGCCTGAAGAGGTCGGTTTCGGGTCCTGCTGAATCCCCGCGCGTCACACGCGATGCCACCGCTTTTCGCGTTCCTACCTGCTACAGCGGACTGGGCATGCATACGAGACGTGATCGTGCAGCGAGACGTGTACACAAAGGAGTCAGGGTGGCGCGCGTGGTCAACGAAGAGTTGGCAGGACTCCGCGGCCGCTGTTCACGGTCATGCATGGCTCGCCCGGCACCGCGTCCGCGCCACTATGGCGGACACATGTTATGGGATAGATGACCAGCCAATTACGAAATTCGGACGCCGGCCCTTGAGCGCTTGAGCTTGAGCTTATTAGCCACGCCAGACTTCGAGCATGTAAGCCTCGCCGTCATTGCCTGACAATGCCTGTGCATCACTGCAGTAGTTGTTACGCAACTGCTAGCACTGCAGTGTCTCAAGCGTCATCCAAACGAGATGACAGTTCAAAACCCCTTCAGGCCCCTTTCAGTAACCCGTGAGTTTCTATACTCGCGCGAGTTCCGGCCAGTCACTTCGATAAAATTTATTCGTCCGGTCGGCATTGATGGCGTCTCCTGCCAGAACGCCATCCTCCAGACTGGTATCGACACCACCATCCAGAATGGTCAAGTGACCTATGATGGTCAGTCCACGCTCCTTGTCCTCCTCCTCGCATGCTGACAAACCTTCTGTATTCTCGCAGCCTGGTGGGAGTGGTTCCCTTTTGCCGCAGCCGACTTCCCGGCCGAGGACATAAGCGTCTCCGCGGGCGATATTCTCACGGTAAGCGTCACCGCAACGAGCGCAACATCGGGCACGGCGGAGATCATCAACCAGAGCACGGCGATGGCCGTCGTTGAGGACATTGCCACCTCTCCCATCGCTCTATGCATGTCGGATGCAGAGTGGATCGTAGAGGACTTCTCTGTGGGTGGGACCCTCGTTCCCTTGGCCAACTTTGGCACGGTCACCTTCACTGGTGCGTCTGCCGGGACTCCCTCAGGCTCTGTCGACACCTCTAGCGCAAACACTGTCATAATAAACCAGAACAACGTGGATCTTACTTCCGCCTTGATCTCGGGCTCGACCGTTATGGTTGCCTACATCTGATACGGCAGAAATGATGTAGGTTCTGTGGGTCTCGGGAAGTGGAAGGAGATGGTGTATGACTTGTTTGTATATCCAGCGTGCTAGAAGGACCAATATTTATTTATTACTGCTTGTATGGTTTGTTTGTATACTGTACTTGCACGACAAATCCGGCCAGTAGGCGCCCAAATTAGTTTTCCGAAAACTCTCCGAAGTCACGATAAATCAAGAGAATATCATTGGCAAGGTCAGCAGTAAATTGGTCTGACACCTGACAGCCAGATTGGTTGTGCAAGTACAGTATTATGGATGTAGCCAGAAGGACAGATATTTATTCAACACTGCTTGTATTGCTTATCACTCCAAGCAATGTGCTGATGCATCAGGCTGCCGTACATGAACTAGTCCTGCAGGTTGCTTGCAGGAGCTCCATGATCAGTTTCAGCAACTGATCACATGGCCTCTGCCACAGTTCTTTGTGGTCAACAGGCACAGAGTCAGGGTTGGCACAGGCATCCTAGACTGCAAATCCAGCCTCCATCAGTAATAGTGAGCTCCAGCACAACAGTGTATGGGTGCGCAGAACACTGTCCAAGCCTCATGGCTGCTTTAGGGTGTAAGAAGCATGGGTGAAACGTACATGAGCTCTGAACACTCCCAAGTCGCGCGCATGGCACATCAGGAAAAAGACTTAGGTCCATAATGCTACAGAGTGCTACAGGAGCATTTTGGAGCATTATGGGCCCAAGTCCTGTTTCCTGATGCCCCAGCCAACAGAGTGACTAAGGCTTTTGATGTACATTACAGCCTGTGGTCAAGAATGAAACATGTCAAGCATATGAACAAACTCAGAGTATTCATACAGCTTGCAACAACTGATTCATGTGGTCCAGTGACATGATTATAACCTGACAGAAAAACAGTTCCCAGTGAGTTCGTTGCAGAAGGGCAATTCCTGGCCAGCCGCAAAGTGCTTCCTAAGATGAGACAGGCAAGTAGAAGCAAAAATTCTAGAGCTATTGAAGAGGAGGCATTGCACGAAGTTGCAGTTAAATTCAGCAAACAGAGTTGAGCACGTAGAGTGTGACCATGCACCTTGGCTCTCTTCACTTGCTTGTGTGTACTATCTACTCTCAGGTGTCATCCAGGTTCATCTAGCAGTAGTTGTTGATATGCATGTATTGTCCAAGCTAGTGAGTGAGCAAAGTGGGGGACTCCATAAGAAGATTTATAGTTGAAAGAGCAGCTCTTAAGATGGCAATGGTGGACAAAGTGCAAAGAGTGGCAGGCAGACCAATAATGTAAGTTGGCATCTTCTAAAGTTAGGGCTAGCTCATGCATTGTCCATGGCTCACCGCACTCCTTGCTACACCTGCTTGCTTGTAAGCCATGCGGACTGCCCTGATTTCCTTACGCTTAACTACAATGACTGTGGAGCTTGAGCTTGAGTACTCAGCACTAGTGTTGCAGAAGAAACTACCTGTCAGTGTAATTTACCAATGTCAGAAAGTAATAGTCATAAGGCTGTAAGTAAAGGGTGTAAGTTCTCATTTCTTACATAGACATCTAATATGTAAGTTACGGTAAGTAAATGTAAGAAAAGCATGTAAGTTACAGGGTCAGTTGTAAGTTGGCTCTACACCCACAGCGTCAGAACACTGAAGGAGTCCAATGACTCCGAGGCCACCTCTGACAGTGCCACTACATCTTTTTTTAATTCAGATGACTTCGGTACCTCTTCTGTTAGCAGTACTACACTTCCAAGACTGGGAGGCTGAGGTTTAGCTTGGGCTCATCAGGAGAGCTCTTGACTGAGAGTGTTGAGCTTATCTCCTCTGCAGCACAAGGTAGGCTTTGCGATCCGGCCAGATGACATGCCGATATCGACCTGCTGGTTCTCTCATAGGAAGTGCCAGGAACCAGACAAGAGTCTTTGGATTGCCAGCCCCCTGCAGAGCTTGCATTGAATGTTGGTACAGTGTAATTGTTCAATAGGTTGTCATACTCCACGGTCCATTGGAGTACATCTGCAACTGCTATGACGCAATGATTGTCACTGAAGTGGAAGGTACCATCATGTCATGCTGTACGCAAGTGATGCAAGTCTTGACCAATGCTGTGTAGCATCACAAACCACGCTTGTTATGGAAGAACAATGTCCGATACAGTGAGATCAACTAGTTGGCTGCCCATACATTCAAAGTAAAGCCATGCTCAGTGGCCCCTTGATAGTCTTCATATCTTAGTGGAGTGCAGCTATTTCGGCTGTTGGCATTGAAGTATGTGAGCCATTCATCTCCTAATATCTTTACTAACTCAACAGTCTCAACATGGTCTCTGTCGACTGCTACTGAAAGAGCTGCTTCTTGAGGGTAGACAATCAATAGACTTGTGCAGAATTGTGAATACAGAATTCACATCAGCTTCCCTGTTGTCTGTAGTGCAAATAAGGACATATTTTTGGCAGTAATTTCACTTGTGTTGGCACAGATGACAGATTAATTCCACCAGAAATCACAAAAATATTTGTCTAGCTTGTAACTATCATGCTTAGGCTGGCACATGCTCTATCATGCCATTGGATCTCAAAACTCATTGATTGAGACTTTCTTACACTAACTTACACTGCTATTTTTGGTATGCCTGTCAGAATGCCTGTCAGAAAAGTAAGTTACACCTGACTTTCTTCTGCAACATGACTCAGTGCTCAGTGCACACTGGCGTGGCAGTTCAGCGCACAGTAACAAGGGGTGACAAATGTGACAGCTCATGACATTGATGTGTGATGCGTGCTTCTTCTCTCATCCAGAGCTTGTTTTGGCCCACAGACTGACTCAGAGCATTTGCCTTCAATGTGCACACACATCCATCTGCACTCCACCACTTAATGCAACTTCCTGCCTGCTTTGTGCCCTCTCATCCTTCCTCTGTCCTTTTGCCTTCTCATTCTCAAACTGCAGCCAACCTAGTTAAAGATTTATAGAACAGTCCCCAGGACATGTTTGTATTGCCAACAGGCATCTCTGCAGCCCCTTCACATCTTCTGACACATCAACCAATGTTGAGCTGAAGATGAGCCATGTATTCTCGGATATTCTGCTCAGAGCTCACCATCTCATCAGGCTCTGTCTCTCAGAGGGTTGTATGCTGCATTTTGATAGAAGTACATCAAAAATTGCAGACATCATTCAATGTCCTTGTCAGTCTGACATTAGTTCACAGGTGTAGAAGTTGCATCCTGCTGTCTTCTTCTATTTGCTCAGCCATACTTGATTTGATGAAGATCGTAGAAAACAGACTTTCTTAGGCCCATGTGAAGGGGTGTATTCCAAGGAGTCTTTCAAAGAGCTTGTACACCTTGTTGTCAATGGTGTTCATACAAATGAGACAGCAGTATAGAACCCCTCTGGAGATGATGAGGGTGCTATCGTGGACACAGGCAAACTGGTACTGTGCTAGAGCAGAACAAAGAGCATGTATTTGATTCCTCTACTTCCTTCCAGTTTGTCCTGGCTCACAGCTAAGCCCTGAGAGTGGCAGTGATGTAAGTAGATTGACTTTACGATTGATGTCAATGCCTACTTACTTGTGTCAATCTGTAAGGACAGTGCTCAGGCAGGTCCATCTTGAATCACCGAGGAGGTGCAGTCCTGACAGCATCCTGATCACATGGCAGCGCACCTTCTAGGTGCTCAGTTTGTTAGATAAGCATTTCAGGCTCTCGAGCTCATAAAGCTTGAGGCATCGGCCTATGTAGTTTTTCCCTAACTCTCACTTGTACACTGTATATCTAGGACACAAATATAGTCAGTTCAGATTCATGGTACGAGTGAGAGGCCAATTCATATATGACAACCTTACACTTTTTTGAATCCTCTAAAGACTTTATTTGACTCCTATACTACAGGATTGTGGGAGAAAACTGCAGTCACTCTGTAGAATTATAATCTACCCTATTAAAGATCCACCATGAGCAGAAGAACCCAAAGAAACCCTTGTTGGGCAGCTTCAGAAGGCTAACACAAGTCTTTCTGGTATCGCATCAACACCACAAAGCTCGACAACTGGCACATCAACGGTGCCTGGAAGCAATCACCAAGACCCTTGGACCAGGAGAAGCACCGATGACCACCATCAGCCTGCTCATCAAACGACAGGCCACCCAGCAATTCTAGATTCCAGCACATCAAAGTCTTTTCAAACTGGGATGTTGACTTCAATGCCCAGCTCTGCTCAACCCAGAACCACAGGAGACACTGTGGTGAAGAAAGAGGGGAGCAAAAGGAGCCCTCAATGGACTGCAAGTAATGACCGCGACTACTCCCATGGAAAACAAGAAGAGTCACACGCAAACCAGAGCCTGCTGAGCTCACTAACTGAGCAATCAGAAGGTGAGGCCGATGTGTCCCTTTGTGCATGCAAAGGGGCTTTGTTCTACTTAGAAGCCCCAGAAGATGTCAGTAACAACTTAACCAGAGAAGAAGAGAGCACAAGGGATGATGCACCCTTGGCAGCCTGAGTAATGGGCAAAATTGACAAGATGTATGCTGAACTTGGGCAAATTGGCATAAAACTCATGACTGCCCACAACAGTGCCATGTCAGAGCCATAGGCTTATATCTGAAGAATCAAACTGCACAGAGTTCTTGACTGTTTGATGCATCAGAACCAACAGAGCTGGCTGGGCTCCATTGAGTGCCTGTCCAGTAGCAATGCCGGACAGCTGCTGAGAGCATCTATCTTCTTTGGGAATGGCATGATAGCATGTAGTGTATGCCGTGCTGGGGTTTGGCAAATACACTATATCAGGTTCAATGTCCATTCTCGGCATTGGGTTTGTGTCCATAGGCCGGTGAGAGGCCTCCCGCATCCATTAAGCATTGTGGCACATGCCATTTGTGGTATATCATGTGGGCAGCATTAATATATATCAGTTTTGTATCGAGACAGGCCAGTAGCAACATGTAATCACTTCAGAGGCAAGCAGTAAGAGCTGTATAAGCTTCTTTATAATGAGAGGT